GGAATTAAAATACTTTTTAGTACCATCAATAGAATTGTTTGTTAAGCTCTAAAAGGTTACTCCTGGCCAACTATCCTAAAGAGAGAGCCTGTAGCTAATGACCCTGTGTGATTACCCTGTTTGCTGGTGATCTGCAAGAAGGAAGGTATTCAGCCTGACTTCCACAGTCCAAGTCAGCTTGGAAAGAGTTTTTGTGAGAGAAGATTGCCAATTTCTTATGGAAAAGAGGGGACAGCTGAAGCCCACAATGCATTAACACAAGTATTAAGAAAGTTTAAATAAAGCTTCTTCACAACTAGGAATGGTGTGCACTAATACATGAATGCACACCTTGCTGGGGTTATTTGACCCCAGCAGCCTTTCCTGCCCAGATCAGGGGGGCTGGACATGATATCTTGGGAGGTCCCTTCCAGCCCTACACTTCAGAGAGAATGGATTTACAATGGTCATATTCACAGAAGTGTGCAATGGTACACAGTATTTAGTGGGCTACAGTGATCAAAATCCTCATCTTAAATAACCTGGAATTTCTTAAAACAAGTCTGGCTTTCTCTTTTTTTTCCTCCCCCCTGTGCACTAAATATTACTATTTTGTGTTTTGCAAAAATTCTTAAAGTGAAACAAAAGAGTTCAATTTCACTTTTTGGCTCCCATGTCCCTGAGCGCTTGGATCGTGTCTGGTAGGGAGCGTTTAAATGGGGACCAAGACTGTTAAGTGAAACTCAAGTGAAAAAATATTGCACTCAAACTCTTACAAAAGTCCCTTAAATCGGGAATCGAGCTATTCAGCAGCCCAGTCCAAAGTCCAAGTAGAGTTCTGCTTTCTGCTGCAAGAGTGCGTGGAAGGGAAACTTGGTTTCTTCCCTTGTAGTATCACCAAACATTGTGTATGCACTGCAGTCTGACCTGTGTGTTTCAAGGACAGGGATAAGGGCAAAGGTGGGGCAGAATTTCAAGGATTGGCCAAAAAAAAAAATCATTAAACTGCTCAGTGTGAATTTTTTTCACCCCCAAACGGAAACATCATGCTTAAGAGATGCTGCTGCAGTGCCTTTATGGAGCAGGTACAGCAGTGCCCACATCTCCTGTGATGTCCCACACCCAGGGTCATGTATTCTCCAAGTGGAGTGCCTAGTGCATCATGGGAGATGGAGTCCCATCAGACAGACTGCCTTAGAAAGGGGAAAAGGGAGTCCAGGGTAGAGGCCTCTCTCTCTGGGACTCCATCTCCCATGATGCGCTGCAGTCGCTCTTCTTGGAGAAGGGTGACCAAGCCACCACCATTCTTCCTTGCCAGAAGTTATCTTACTGTTGCAATATGCCCTCAGATGCCTACTTGTAGATTAGGTCTATAGCAGCCCTGTGTTTTGCTGAATTTGCAGATCACAGCTTTTCTTTCCATGACATTGCTGGCTGGAGTGGGTTGCAGAGCAGAATATGCTTGGTGCTGTACACACCTTGCAGTTCTTCCCCTAGAGACTCTGACTCTTCCCTGATGAACTGCAGTTAATTGGGCAAGAGCATAGTGGCATGTGGCAGTGAATGAAGGTTAGAAAATTGCACAGGCCTGCTGTTTGTTTATGGAGTTTGAGTTGTGACTGCTTAATTTGCTGACCCATTTTTTTACTGGCATCAGCACTGTGCAGTCGATACAAACTAGCAGGGTTCAGAATACAGGAACTTCCTTGCCGAAGATGTATAAATGATCTCTATTGATTCCAGGTTGTGTTGTCAGCCTTGGATAAAATTAGTCCCCCAATCTTCCATTTTTAACAAGTGAAGTGCGTCCACCTTGCCACAATCATAGATGGAGACTAAAGGTGGAACCCCACCATGTTCGGTCACTCTTGTACTGCAGTCACGTCTCACACCTAATACTTTAAGTGAGCATATGACTGAAATGCATGTGAAGGACTCTTTATGGAATGGATTTGGAGAGAACTCTTATTTTGGGGTCAGGAGAAAGCAAAGCTGTTTAAGTATAGCATTGCAGGATGTGCGCCTGGCTTTCCTGCAGGCTGTGAATTAATTTTGTAATGTGTTTTTTGTTTCATTTGCCAGGTGGATTTGTTCAAAAAGACCCTCTTGCTCATTCCAATTCATCTGGAAGTCCACTGGTCCCTCATTACAGTGAACATCCCCAATCGAATTATTTCATTTTATGATTCCCAAGGCATTCATTTTAAATTTTGTGTAGAGGTAAGAGAAATGATTATAGCTAACGCCCTTGAGTTTTTGCTCTAGAAATGTCATTTTTTATCCTCTCCAAAATAAATAACTCTATGCATGGTATCAGCTTTTGCAATAATGGAGTGTTTGGCAAGTATGCTGTTTGCTTCATCTGTAGTTGCAAAGCTTTTCACAGAGAGATAATGAATTAGTTTCATAGGTGGGGAAAATTCAGGCTCGAACCTAGCTTAGGGTGGCAGAATCCTTACCAACTTTGGAACGGGACACACAGGATGATAGGGAAGTAGGGCTCGAAGGGACTTTGGGAGGTAGCATCCAGTCCAGCCCTCTGCTTAAGGCAAGATTGACCCTGACTAAACCATGCCAGTCAAGCATCCATCTAACCTAGTGATTCTCAGCTAATGTGTTGTGGCGCTCTGGGGTGCCTTGAGAGCCTTTCAAGGGTGCCATGGGGTGCAAAACACTGTTAGCATGGTTAGGTGTGCAAACCTAATTTGCAAGATGAACCCAGAGGTTTCAAATAAGAATCCATAGCATTAACACTGCTCTGATCTGTTGTGGTCTGCCCATGTTCTTTGCAACAAAAGAATTGATCTTTTTTATTTTTGTGCACTCAGTTCGAGTGCAAACGAAGAACTGGTATTTTCTGAGGGCTGCCTTGAGAGTAAAAAGGCTGCAAATTCCTGGTTTAACCTGCTGGCAAACTGCATCTAACAAACCCTTCTGTTGCTGTACTGTTACCTTTGTCTCCACACAAGCAAATGCCAAAGGCCAAATACAGTAAGAGAGATCCATTCTTTAAAGGAGATTGCTGTTCTGACACTGTGTGAACCAAAGACAGTTGTAGTTTTTGCCTTATTTTTCGAGGGATCAGGAGTCAGGGACCTTTAGCTTTAAAATTATAACTATTTAAACTTTTAAAATTTGTCACCTGGACAAATAATAAGTTTCATCAAACAAAATATTAATCATTGAGGTAAAGCACAGGCAAGTGGTTTGTGCCTGGACTAGCAAATATAATGACCGCTTTCGTTTTTTTTTTTTTGGTAAGGCATAATTTTGCTGCCTTAATTGCCTGTTAATGCAGCAGGCTTCCACTTCCAAGTGTGCACGGTTGTCATCTTAAGGCAGAGTAGCAATTACTGTACCCTGGAGAGCCCATCATCAGGACATCAAAATGAAAATACTTGTTTTCTGCCAGTGTTTGCCAAAGATGGAGCTGCTGATTATGGAACTGGGGGTCACCTGCTTTTTTGCTTCCGTAGGTCAGGCTGCTTTGCATGCACCAGGAGCTCCCACCATTCCTCCTTCCTCCCATTCCACTATTTTGGACACCTGCCATAGTGCCCCAACAATACACCCAAACAGGTCTGTGTGCCCTTCCCCCCCACACCAGTCTCATTCGTTTTGGAGGCCAACATATCAAGCTCAGCTGGGACTTAGTCAAATGGACTTGCAATCTGTCAAGAATTAGAGGTGCCTGAGTGAAGCAGAGATGCTGCCAACCAGAGAGTGTGTCCCCTTCTTTCCATTTTCCACCAAACTTGCTGGGTCTTTGCCCATCGTGGAAAAATAATCCCACAAAATGTTGGTGTTTCTTGGAGGCCACTTGCACAACTCACCCTGGTAGAGCCAAGCAGTGGAGGTGATTGAGTTGTAGAGGTCTTGAAACCCAGATACATGGGGAAGAGCCAGACATGGTTTATTTGGCCGTCTTGGCCACCTCCATGTGAACAAATGCAAGGTTATGCTGGAAAAGACGTGTCCAATCTAGCTATGGAAATTTCTCTCGCCTGGGGCATTTGCTGCTCCTGGCAGACTACAGAGCCAAATTCAGCCTTGATGCAAGAAGATGCTGTCCCCACTGAAATCAGTTGTCACCTTAACACCTACTGCTGAACTTCACCCCTAGTGCTGAACTTACCTTAGGTGAAATCTGTTCTCCTGTGCAAGGTCTGTGCTCCGTCCTTGCTTAAAAGCAAATGTCGTCTATTCTGCACAGATAACAGCAAGGATCCTCATTGGTGTTTTCTTCTTTGGTTGTAACTGCTGGGCAGTAGGAAGTTTCTGATTGCTGCTTTTTTTTTTTTCTTTTTAAAGAACATACGAAAGTATTTACTAACTGAAGCAAAGGAGAAGAATCATCCCGAGTTTCTTCAGGGTTGGCAGACTGCTGTTACAAAGGTAAGTGCCAGAGCCTATTGTAAATCCCTCCAAAGCATTAGCCTCTTGAAGTAGGCCATCTGCACTCTTGTATCTGTAGAGTTTTAAGAAGCAGTAAATATTTGTCTTTGAAGCTAAAAGGCAGATGGTAGGATCGGGGCACTGTGGGCTTCTTGTCACTGGTTGAGCTCTCACACAAGTCCCTAATCCCATCTATTCCATAAATTGTGTCCAGCAGATAAGTATTCATGCTGCAAGGCCATTACTGTCTGCTTCCATGTTGGCAGGGAGGTTGAGGATGGAACGAGCTATAGAGACCAGCTCTCCTCCAGTGTTCAAGTGCCTGTTCCAAACAGTTTGAAGTGGCCTTGTGTAGGGAAGGTGGGAAGCAGAAGTCTGGCACTGCTGCTGTGTATATTGTGCATATGCTATGGATTGAGAGCTTTGGTCTTCAGGGCTGTCAGCCTGACGCGTTCCACCAGCACTGTGTTCATTAACAAGCAAAGCTGGCAGCGACTAAAAGGGAGCAACTCACGTGAAGTGCAAATGAGGGATTTTTTGACTTGCATAACTCCTGTAATGGTTTGGAGGACACTAAACAGGTCATCGAACATCAGACAGTCACCCAGGATATTTTTAGGCTTTGGTACAACTTCTAAGATGGTCTTTGTGCTCCTTTTTTTTTCTGCACCCCCCCCCTTCCAATTCTGCATAGCCTCATGAGAGACTGACTTGGGGTATAAAAAAAGGATTGGCTTTTCTTCTTGTAATGTCATAAATTTAAAGGCATGCTTAGTATCAGAGGTAGAGTGGGGAGACGGGTTAAAAATTAGCAGAACAGACAAAACCCAGAAACAGAAAGGTTTATTACTTTGGGATGAAATCTTCGCTATTTTGGAAGAATCTAGGCAGTTCTCAGACCCCTAACCTAAAAACTTCTTTCCCTGGCCTGATCGCAGATTGTCCTTCCTACTGCTTTCGAGTTGCCTTTTGCAAAGTGCTTCTCTTGGCTTGTATGACTTTGATGCATTTTTTAAAGTCTGGCCCATATAAAATAGGTAGTGGTGCTCAAATATTTCCTTAAAGTAATTGGGAGGAAACCGTGTTGCGAAGGATGTGGAAAATCTGGCACAGGTGGAAGACCTATTGTCAGTTTTTTATCTCAACTTGTACACTCAAGCTGCTCATCCTGACACCAACGAAGTATTGAGTTCTCATCGCATGGCATAACGGCAACTCCATTTGTGAAAGCCACAGAACAACTGGTTACCAATGAAATGGATGATCTTCATAAAGTCCCTTCCAGCCCCTAACATCTATGAAATGAGCTCATCCATTTTTTCCTTCCAGGGCCTAATTTTGAATGTTAAATAGAGCTTTGAATGAAAATGAAAGACCAGCTGAAGACGATGCATGTCACCTAACTTCTCCTTTCTTATCCCCGCTCAGTGCATTCCACAACAGAAAAACGACAGTGACTGTGGGGTTTTCGTGCTCCAGGTAAGAGTGTCATTTTAAAACCTCACCTGGCCTTTGTCATTGGACTTGCCTTGTGAATGTCCCTATTTCAATTCAGCCTTTTCATTTTCCTCAGTACTGCAAGTGCCTCGCCTTAGACCAGCCTTTTCAGTTCTCCCAGGAAGATATGCCCCGAGTAAGAAAGAGGATTTACAAGGAGCTGTGTGAACGCCAGTTAATAGACTAATAAAACTAAAGTCAAGCTATTCCTCTGGCATTTCTGAAGAGCTCCAGCTGGTGTTTGTGTACTTGAATTTCTGAAAACTTCCGTGAATTTCAAACAAGTCTCAGCTGAGTGGTGTGGCCACTATTGTTACCTCAACTTTTTCTGACATGCTCTTTAACTGGCAGAGCTTAAGAGACCTGCCACAAAATATTCCTAATGTCAGTTCGATTCTCTTTTATGTTCTTTCCTGTATTTAATATTTATTATCTAAGCATGCGTATAGGCAGAGCATGCGACTAAAAAAAGTATAAAACTGTAGATTTGGTGCACCTTTGAAATGTAGCTAGAAATGACAGAATACAGGTTAAAAAATTGTCTGAAAACATAAAGATGCATGATCCGTTTTTCTGATGCAATAATGCTTTGAATGTATCAAGAAAAAAAAAAGACTCAATGCCATAAAAAGAGCAGCTAGAACCTTTTGAAATCTCAAATTCCACTTTTTCTCATTGTGGCTGTGTAGTACTGAATTCCCACCTCTTTTTATTTTATTTTTAGGCAGGTTAAACTTGCCTACAAATTTGATTTGTGGAAGACCCCCACTTTCTTTATTAGCAACTATTTAAAAAAAAAAAAAAAAAGGAGGTTTGTTCTGTTAACATTTATCTAGCTGTCATGACCACCTTGTTCCCATGGTTGGAAAGCAGCCTTTGCACAAATGAGACTTCAGCACTTGACTGTATAATAAAAAGTGTGAAGATGTTCATCCAATCAGATTGATAGTATTTTCATATACTTGAGAGCCGTGTGTGTGTGTTCGTGGCTATGGTAGGGAGACTTATGAAGCTGATGCTGAAGTTGGAGCTGGTTTTAGCCAAAGCCAGATTATCTTGGTAACTAACTACTTGAATCTTAACCGGCTGTTTCTGAGTGTCTCTGAAAAACAGCCGATTTATGCATATCTCAGTTTAATCTTTCACTTCTGCCTACGTGCTAGAACTGAGTTCCCTTTTCACTTGTACTGTTTATTCAAATTCCTTTCCCCTTCGTTGCATTCCGTATCAAAGAAAACAGTCACTCCTCGTCAGAGCACATCTCAAATCTTGATGACTTCTTGTTTTTTATTCTGGTAGCAGTTGCAAGCCAAGGTCTCATTGTGCTAAGCACTGTCTAAGTCAGTGGTTCTCAACCTTTTTAGATTCAAGCTCACCCCTCTTAGCTCCCCTGTGCAAATTCTTCGTTTCCGCTTGGTTTTAGATGACTGGAAAAAAAGAATACAGCAATTACTGTGTTGCGGAGCTCTGAAAGACCACATCAGGTCAGAATGTTTCAGACACGGCACATTCTCATTCCCTGGGTTGATCTTGTAAATCGTGTAGGCGTTTGCACACACAACTGTGCAGCCCCCCCGGTACCCTTAAAAGTATCCCGTGGCGTGCACAGGTCCTGTAACTCCTTGGTTGAATCACTGTTCTAAATGCAAGAAGGAAAAATGCCTCCAAGAGCATAGAGTTAAAGGATGTTCAGTACTTGACTGACGAGTACAACGTTGTGGGGACGTTGTGTGAGTTTGTCCAGCAATTTTCTTATCTGGCACTAAGAACTGGGGGTCTCAGTCCCATCATTTGGCATAATCCTACAACATTTCTGGCATGTGAGAGGTTGAAGAGGAGAGCATGTCGCTAAGTGCCTTGCTGGCACAGCACTCCCTTCAGAGACCTGCTCTTTGCCATACCTTGCTGTCACCTTTTTTTTTTAACAGTGTAGCCTTGCAATAACGGAGTATGCCCAGGGAGAGCTGTTCAGCACACCAGTATATGATTAGACTTGCAGATATTTTGTGTTTGTGCCTAGTATTGGCTTGTGATGAAGCACAACAACTTTCGTTGCTCTACTACTGAACATCATAAGTCAAACTTAAGTCCCAATTCAGCTAGACTGCTTTTAATCGGAGCCTTTGTTTCAAATCTGATTAGTTTGGGGTTCACCCCTTAACATGTGCATACCTTCAAAAATGCTCATAAAAGCTCTGTCTATGAAAACGATCCATGGATGTGTTGTGAATGTAAGCACCAGTCTAATTGCCAGGGGGCCTGGGACTGAAAGCTGCAGAGACCAGCCTTAAACAAAAGTGGAAACTCCTTTCATTGCGTAAGATGAGCAAAATGCAAAGAATAAATTATGTAAATGGCAACATGTGTGCTTGATGTCTGCTTTGAGATGCCTCAGATTCTTGCTTTTCAGGCAGGAAGTCTTGTTGATAGCTGTTCATGATTCTGTGCTTGACGGGCTGAACCCTATGTTTTAGAAAAAATTTTCCCCTTTTGGGGAAAAGGTTTTGAAGTATTTCATGGTTAAATTTTAAGTGATATTTTTTTTTTCCCTCTTGTGTAACAGCTTCAGAATAAGACTTTTTTTTTTTTTTTTTTT